ATTGAAAATTGAAATATTTTGAATTCATTTAATTATCTCTAAATTAAATGTTAATTTAAAGAGTCTCTTGGAGTATAATTTTAAATGTTGACTCTCTAAAATAGAGAGTATCTCATGTTTAAAGAGTCTCTTGAAGATATTTTTAACTTATTAAATCTTTAATCACGTAATTAATAAGTTCTAACTCTCCCAACCCCAAATCAAAACTCCCGATTCTCAATTCCAAAAAACTCCCAAACCATTACGGCAAAGAGAAATCTTCAATCATGCCACAACTCCGCTCATCATCATCAATTACAAATTTCGAATTCATTTATTTTTCTGAACTAGATGGATGTATAAATTTTTTTGGATCAACTGCTTTGCTGTAGAAACAAAGAATTAGTTCAAAATCTTAGATTGTAATACTTGAAGTCTCCATTATAAACAAGGGACCTCATAATCTTGATGACATTAGAGACAGCTTCTGCAGATTTGAAAGCTTTAGGACAGTGAGGAATGAGTTTATTGAAAATTTAACCGAAAGCATTACTGAGAAACAACAAAGTTCCTGGGAAAAGGTTTCGGAATCTGAGATGAAGAACTTTTGTTTCCTACTATGGTCAATTCAGTAATGTGATTGTTTGAACAGACAATTACAAATAAATGGGGGTGTGAGAGAGATAGCAAAACCTACTCAAGTTATTTCAACTTTGAATAGTTGGTGGAAATTCAAGAAATCGTTGAACTTGAAATAGGATTTTGCTTTCTACTGGTGCTAGTTGTGCATTGGAAATGGTACATAAAAAAGGAAAAAGAGTACACCAAAAACTAAGCGTGAAGTGAATCCATGACTTTCCCGGTCCTCTATAGAAAAATGAAACAAAAATGCTTAATGTTCGGCAATTTTGATAGCCCTCTCCTATGGGTGGGGAAAATTAAGGTCAAAATTGATGTAACTCTAGCATTGTTCAAAATGAAAACTGAAACGGCAACTCCATTATTTAATGACCTTGATTGGATTCATAAGGAAAACTAAAAGGGAGCTTGTAATAATCTTGATATACTCTGATAAGTGTCCGTTTGATTCCCATTAATTAGAAAGAAAATGAGTTTTGACTAGTATTTTTAGGAAAATGTGTGGTTAAAAAGTCGAGAAAAGTTTTGAGAGAACATGTTGAATATTTTATTGAAAATGATTTTGTAGCAAACCATAAAATAAATTGTATGAATTAATTGAAATTTTTGAACCTTTTCTGATAAATAGATCAAATATTTTATAGTTGGGAAATGGAAGAGATAAAAGAATGAAAACGAAGGACTATCCTAACAAAATAGGAAACACGAGTGAGAAGCCTTAAACTGCATGGACCACACTGAATAGTTGAGAGTACGTGCATGTACCTACAATTGTCTGAATCTGAGGTCGATGTTTGGTGGTGGTGGTGGATAATAGGGCATAAATCGATTAAGCAGTGTAGATCAATGGTGATTTATGATCTTATACATGATTATATGTGATGGTTCATGCATTTCACATGCTCACAACATGGTGGATTTGAATTATTGCTATGAACGTGAATTTGTCACCTTTTTAATCTGTCGCTTTTTTGAGATTCTGTCACTTTCATCTTAGAAATTGTTGTATTCCTAAAATTAAGTTCTGCCATTTTTTTTAGTGTTGGTCACTTATTCTTTTTATATTTCTTTCACTTTTTGAGTGTTTGCCACTTTTTTTTGTCACTTTTTTTTTTTTGAATTTGTGTCACATTTTTTTATTACTTTTTGTCATTTTTTTTGAATTTATGTCACTTTTTTTAGTATTTTTCAACACTTTTTTTCACTTTTTTTTAGTGTTTCATTTTTTTTATCACTTTTTTGAACGTGTCACTCTCTTTTTTCTTTTTGTAGGATTGATATTTAATAATTCCTTAATAATATTGGTTTAAAGGGAAAATCACGTTATATTCCCCACACGAGATAATAACGGGTTTAAATTAAAAGTTATAGTCACTTTTTGAATTTTTGTCTTTT